TGTTGCGTAAATATTGTAAAAAATAGCTATAAGAGAAAAACAAATCTGTGGTAAAGTATAATCTATATCTGTAACAATTCACCTGTCAGAGACGGGAAAAAAGCAATGCCCATGAGTAATCTATAGTGTTAAAATTGTTATTCATTCACTAAGGTTTAAGATCAAAAGCTACAGTAATATATAGTGTTAACATTTTTATTCATTCACTAAGGTTTAAGATCAAAAGCTACAGTAATATATAGTGTTAAAATTGTTATTAATTCACTAAGATTTAAAATCAAAAGCTACAGTAATATATAGTGTTAAAATTGTTATTCATTTACTAAAGGTTTAAGATCAAAAGCTACAATAATATATAGTGTTAAAATTGTTATTCATTCACTAAGGTTTAAGATAAAAAGCTACAGTAATATATAGTGTTAAAATTGTTATTCATTTACTAAAGGTTTAAGATCAAAAGCTACAGTAATATATAGTGTTAAAATTGTCATTCATTCACTAAGGTTTAAGATCAAAAGCTACAGTAATATATAGTGTTAAAATTGTTATTCATTTACTAAAGGTTTAAGATCAAAAGCTACAGTAATATATAGTGTTAAAATTGTTATTCATTCTCTTAGGGTTAAGATAAAAAGCTACAGTAATATGTAGTGTTAAAATTGTTATTCATTTACTAAAGGTTTAAGATCAATGTACTGAGTTATTATTGTTTCTTTGTGAATACATAGAAGTGAGGGCATGGAGAATACGAATCCATGGTTACCAGAAGGCGTTACATCTGCGCAATGTGGCTGCCATTCCTTTTAACAATGGCCCACATCCTTGGGATGATTTAGTGGACAGCTGAACGAGTTTGTACAATCTTCAACAGGGCTACATGATGTCGGATGGTCCACTTGACATTTTGGCTAAGGCGATACCAAAAGTCAGTTGTGTGACGTGGAGTGTTTGCTAAGATGTGGGACTTGACAGATGCCAGCTCTCTGTCACGTTATTCTACGGTTACAGGCCATCGTTAACTCGAATATTTAACACATTTAGTGCCCTCTGTTGTTAATTGACTCGTGTTTTCCATGGTCTTATTTGAATATATTCATGAAGAATTGTTGCTGTATAATGAATAGTATCCATTTTGTTGATGTTCAAACACACAATAAACTATTTTAAGAAATATGTGTATTTAAATTTCTTAAAAATCGATCAATTATTCATCGAGAGAAATACAACAGGCACCTTAATATCAAGTGAAGAAGTTACAAGCACATTGATATTAAGTGAAAAAGTTACAGTCACCTTAATATCAAATGAAAAAGTTAAAGGCACCTTAATATCAAGTGAAAAAGTTACAGGCACCTTAATATCAAGTGAAAAGTTACAGGCACCTTAATATCAAGTGAAAAGTTACATCGCTTTTCGTGGAATGTAGACAGAAATTAAGAAAGCAAGGATATTCTATATTTTTAGGTATATTGGCTCTGACATTACTGAATGCTTCAGATGCGGCGGGTCACATCTGGGACAGTGTCAAGATCATTGGATTAGGGCTTCGAGACCTGATCCGTAACGAAAACATAACAAAGGCCCCTGATAGCTGCGATTCTTCAGACAGAGCCTGGGAAACAGGAAAACAATTTGTAAAGTAAGTTTTCAGTTTAAGCCAAAATCACCTTATATATATATATATATATATATATAATAAGCATTGAGAAGTTTGTAGCAAAATCCATTGTTAATCCCAGGCGTCAGCTTAAAGTCATAGCGGATAATCCCTGTGGTAATAGCTCCCAAGTGCGTTGTGGATATCCCATTTACCAGACAAAATCCAAACGTTGATGTTAAACTAGCCAGCAGCCATTGGAAAATCAACTAAGGGTATGGAGTTAAGTGCTTACACCCACAAAGTCTCAACACCTACTGCCTTTCATTGTATGCAGCCAATTGTGGGAAGACAGTTACTCTTAAAAGTTCTTATAATTCTTAAAGTAGAAATGAAACCACGCTAATATTTCTACTATATGCAACTCTCAACCTCCTTTTTATGTATAGAGTCTGAAGTTAGCTCATTCTACGGGACGTATGGGTACAGTTCTGGATATATGCAAGTAATATATTTAGGTTCAGTGTTTCATTCCTTTAAGTTTTGTAAGTCACATAATAGAAGAGATACCCGTCTATCACATTACAAATCTGTTATAAAGCATTTCACGTAGAACAAAAGAGAAACGAAATTAGAAATAAAGAATATTATCAAAGATAAATCGCTTATATATATAACTTCTTGTCACATAATAAATATAGTCGCCAGGTGATTAGGGCGCTCGACTCGCAATCTGAGAGTCGCGGGTTCGAATCCCAGTCCCACCAAACATACTCGCCCTTTCAGCCGTGGGGGCGTTATAATGTGACAACCAATCCCACTATTTGTTGGCAAAAGAGAAACCTAAGAGTTGGCGGTGGGTGGTGATGACTAGCTGCCTTCTCTCTAGTCTTTCACTGCTAAATTAGGGACGGTTAGCACAGATAGCCCTCGTGTAGCTTTTCGCGAAATTCAAAACAAACCAAACTAATAAATATAGTCACAATAAACAGTATTAAACAACAGAAACCCAATGTATACCATGAAGTAAAGAAAATGAGACGTTATCACTAATTTCAGAAGTTGAGTTAGATTTTCAATGATTCAGTTAATTATAACATAAAAAGAAAGAGAGCTTAATGCTTCCCTATGGCATTTTAAAGTCAAAACAATTAACAAAACGATTTTGAATATTCACATCAACATGTCACGTGACAGCCACAGCCGATATAATGTTGCGGTAGAACGGAATGTATCAGAAATACATTGTTTGGCATTCATAGGTGGTATGATGCCTCCGAAAATTGATCGTTTTGGGGAAGGATATTTAACAACCCTTTCCGACGCAAAATATACGTACACACAGATCGTAAAAATATGTTTGGCTAAAGGATTTATAATTTTCAGTACGGGGATATCCCTTGTACTTAATGACATTGGAGAAGAAAGGAATCTGGATCATCCAGAAAAAGACCTGCAATAAGCCATACCCTAGTCAAGATAAGCAACGTTTAGCTTCTTGTATCAAATGAGAATCCACGAAATGGTAAAAGTCATTTACATGTTCCAAGGAACATTTCACAACACAATTAAGGACTTCCATCTGGAAACAAGACCAGCAGGGTATTGGGTTCACCAAGGTAATGGGTTCAATCAGGCTTCCAGTTCATCCGTTCAATACCTCAAATAGCTGGAGAAGGAAAAGAGGTTTCAAGATATTTTATACGAAGGCATATCAGTCAAGTCAACAGATAAAGTGGCAATAGATTTCTATGCAATTGGGTTGTTGAAATAGGAACTGGGAAACAGTCATCCTCGTATAATAGTTGGATCCTGGAAAGTATGTCGGGAAATGGGGTGTGCTTTGGACGTGACAATCAAACAACGAAGTCTTTTGCAATGGAAATTGCGCTGCAGAACCATTGTCAAGATGTACCATCGTCAGACCAAATGTGGTGACAAGGACTGCGACATCATGAGACTCCAAAATCGTTTTTAGATAACGTGCTCAACTGGGCATATGTGTGAATGGCAGCAAGAAAAGTATTAATACATTTATAACATTTCTTTGGAATTTTCTTCTTTAATGTAGTTTTTCTTAACAATCAAGTTTTTTTTCTTTCTGTGTTTTAGGAAAAACAAGTTAGAATAGATAAACTTCAAAAAAGTTCTGGAAATCATATCAGTTTGAGTATATTTAAAATGAACAGTAAATAAAAATAGGAAAAGAACACATTTAAAAATGAATTACTTGTTTGTTTTTGAGCTATCAGTGCTCTGCTCAACAGGGATTTGAAACCCGTTTTGTAGCGTTAAAAGCCACTATATCTTACCGCTGAGCCAATGGGGCTTGGAAGAATGGAGTCTCGCTAATAGAAATAAGCTTTATTGTCAAAACTGTATTTATGAACTTACTAATTTGCAAATTTTAGGTACACTTTTAGGAAATATTACAACAATTTGAATATTCATTAGAATATGAAAATAAAATAAACCTTTAGGGCAACGTCTTTCGCAAACTATTTCCGAGTCTTGCGTTAATAAGACTTACGTTAAATTTGTTTTTATGTTTGAGTGTGAATATTACGTAAGAGAGGTGATTTTGATTCGAATGCCTAAAACTGTGTTCTACTGGTGCCTTGATTTTACTTTTAATGAAAGGATCATGAGAACATTTTTACGTGTTTCCTGAATATAGGCACTGTTTATGTTTCAGGTATTTAAAGGCTCAAAGTCTGTTGTATGGAAAAACTGGAAGAGTAGCTTTTGACGAGAAAGGCGATCGCCTTAATAGTGAGTACGATATTGTAAATATTGTAGACGGGCAGACCGTAACGGCTGGACATTACACGTTTTCCAAGGTAAGGTCACGCATCATTATAGAATCAACAGTGCACATAGCATTTGTGCAGTTTAACATATTTTGTTACCATTATTAGAAAAACATTAATGCATGACTAATTTTTCAAAAAAATGTATGAGTTTTTCTTGAACTGAGTAATACAACATATTTTTTTTTATTTTTTTGCTATTAGGTTTAATCAGTTTACGTTTTTATAAACATTTATTACAAAATAATAAGTCCTTATTCATTATTATTTAGAGTACAAGTTTAATATCATCATGCAAATGACGGCATGCTATCTGTGTACTAGATAGTAATGCGATCATTAATATTGTTGTTACATGTTTTATATTATTTTGATTTAATTAAGTGACTATGTAAACCCCCATTTTAAGGCTCAGATGAAGATGAATCTCAAGCTCAACATAAACAGCATCAAATGGCCTGGTAACCACTCAACAAAGCCCCGAGGATATATAGTCCCCACCCGTTTACAGGTTTAACTTTCATGTTTGATTTATCTTCCGTGTCAGTTGTAATGAATAAACCCCAATGGAGGATCAGATGACATTATGAAATTAAAATAATATGTAAAATATCGCGGTAAATTTTAGTTAAGTTAAACTAATGGCTCTTTCAGTGGAAATATAAGCCTAATAAATGTTTTATTAACATTCCTAAATAGTTGCCCAATCTACCAATAAAGAACTTGGATCAAGTGTTTTAATTCTTTGAAAAATTTGTAACAAAACTATTGAAAGACAAATTGTACAGCTGATTAGATTAATCTACATTTACGTTAATATATTCTCTGTTTAATAATATATAATTTTAACTTTTTTTAGTTCGAGTTTTAAATACACCAGTTTAGTATATTGTTAGTTTGAAATTCTTTAGTATTTTTGAAGTATAACTTTTTATTAGTCGTAATCAAACTTTTAGAAAAATAAAATAGCAATTTGAAATTCTAAGCTTCTCGTCTATCGTATTTATTTATTTATTTTTTATAAGGTTGTTACCTTGGTGGAAGAACCGTTTGTTTGGGCTAGACCTGTGGATAGCAAGGAGGATTGTAAAGAAGATGAAATCCCATGTCCGCGATCCAACAGTTCGCTGTGTAAGTGTAACTTTAATGGAAAAGAAGACAAAGCGAAATACTTACAGTTCTCTGAGGAATACTAAGCAAATACAACTACATAACAGACCTTGTTTTCTGGGCTGAGCAGGTTGACACTATAGGCCTAGCGTTATTAGATTATACTGGTACTAAAAGAATGAATATAAGTTGATAGAAATAAACAGAAACTTTTTTCTTTTTAATTCATGATGTGTATTTTCTTGAAAGCTGTTGTTTCCATCATATAAAGATAGGAAAAGAGTCCCAGCCTTCACTACTATAACTACGTTATAAGATTAGGGATGAAGTTCAACTCGAAAATGAGAAACACCAAAAAAAAAGAAAAAAAACAAGTACAGATTGAACAAATATCTAGAACTACAACACAAAAGTTGGAAGCCAGTAAGGAAAAGAATTGTTTTTGGTTTTGAGAAATACAACATTTCGAGCTTTGCACACTACAGGATTAATTTTAGCTGCCACAAATATCACACACACATATATATATATATAACTATATAATAAGTTATGCCAACATAATCAGAAAATTAACGACTGTTCAGTTTGAGCTGTTCTCGTTTTTTAGAATAAGTTTCAAAATAATATTTTAACATGTGATTTCTAAGATATCTTCCACCAGTTAAAGACGTTAAAAATCATCAAAGCTGGCCTCTTAACGAAAGGTAGGAAACGTAAGTGATCGTACTGTCATACTTATGTTCCAAGTCCAACTACACTTACCTTTTATTTTCTAATATTCTCGTGTTTGTGCTTGATAATGATACGAAAAGGACAAAATATGAAATAAAACACAGTATGAATATGGTTGCTTCTTCATTTTTAAGAGGAAAACTTCACAATTGACTATTTGTGCTGTGTCCAGCGCGGAGATCGAACACAGAATTTTAACGTTATAAACCCTTAAGCTTACCGCTGAGCCACGAAGGGACAGTATGACTGTAAATCTTGAAATGTCGGCCACTTTACATGGCGCGCTTATATACAGGAATAGAGGGCGTCTAGCAAATACTGGATTATTAGTGATGTACCCCGAACCTTCTAGATACTCATTACGTGTTACCAGCGTCACGTGAATACCGCTGTCGTAACACGTGTTTACCATAAGTAAACTCTGCTCACTCATCTATACATATAAGACGAAAAATTAATTGATCTGTAGTCACTCCAGGAATTTCAACTTGACATGGGTGTTTGCATAAGAGCAGTGATTTGCTGAGAGAAAACTAGAAAGTTCAGAATATTTAATAAAACTACACAAGCGAGCATTGTTACTGATTTAGATTCTATTATGTACACCTAAGAACTACTAACAATCATTTTTTGATTATCTTTGGTGTCCCCTGAGGAATGATCTAAAGTGATGGTTGACGTAAAGTTCTTTCAACACACAATTGTTAAAGGTCGTTTATTCTTGAGGATTTAAGTTTTGGCTGAACATTACCGATGATGGATACACGCCGTTGAGGACTATTGTGCTGTTTTATCCTACGTTCACCACCAGATGCTGCTTCTTTGTCTACTATCTTATAGTTCACTCATTTTGCTTTGTTCATTTATTAATTCCGTCAATATTTATTTTCAAATATACTTTTCTCAATAATGTTTGCTGGTTAAATTACCTTTTACACGAACCATTAGCCCCTGATGTATCTTAAAATATATGTAATTTTTCTCATTTTAAGTGAACGACAGAGGCTGGAGAAAGGGTAATACTTTGTTTTTGGTATTTTTTCAAACTGGAACGACTGAAGAAAACTTTTCTCATATTTTAGATATAAAATGAATTCTAAGTTGCCAATAAAAATAACACGATTAATTGCGACGATATTTCATTTTGAGGTATGTTTTTGTTTGTTGGATTTTTTAATAAATTATACTAAGAAATGCGTCCAATAAATTTCAGTTAAAATTTCAAATTTCATAGTAAAGATTTCTATATTTACCAGTAAGTAAAACTATCTCTAAATAACACATTAACAATATTGAGGTAATTTGGCTCTATTATGAAAACCAGGTAGTTAGGGCTCTCAACTCGCAATCTGAGGGTCGCGGGTTCGAATCCCTGTCCCACCAAACAAGTTCGCCTTTTCAGCCGTGGGGGCGTTATAATGCGACGGTCAATCACACTATTCGTTGGTATAAGAGTAGCCCAAGAGCTGGAGGTGGGTGGTGATGACTAGCTACCTTCCCTCTAGTCTTTTACTGCTAAATTAGGGACGGCTAGCGCAGCTAGCCCTCGTGTAGCTTTGCGCGAAATTCAAACAAACAAACAAACTATTATGAAACTGTTTAACATAGATGACTTCAGAAACGAAGCGAAATTTCTCAACTTGGATGCTTACGCAATATTTAAGATATGTCAGAAAATGAAAGCACAAATATAATGAGCTTGTAAAATATTCATCAAATCGCTAGTCTGGTGAGTACAATAAAGAAAATCTTAGGTTTAACAGAGCGATGTGCGAACTCGCCTAACAGCTTATTTGAAAGTCCACATTTAAGTGTTTGTTTGTAATTAAGCACAAAGCTACACAATGGGCTATCTGTGCTCTGCCCACCACGGGTATAGGAACCCGGATTCTAGCGTTGTAATTCTGCAGACATGCCGCTGTGCCACTGGGAGGCGTCTACATTTAGAGGGACACATTCGCTTTAAAATAATTCAGGTAATAAAATAAAAATATATTTTAATGTTAAGTATAAAAAAAAATGTCTATGTTATTTTTCAAAGTAATATTTTTTGTTATTTGGATGAAATCTTTTCAGCTTTTTTTCGTTTTTAGAACGTTTAAGATATGTAGACGTTCAACAAAAAATAAAAACAAATTTAAATATCGGGAAGCTCTGAATAAATTTGTTTGTTACTCGAGTATATGCAGTAACTGCAGTTTGTATGTTTATAATATACAGTTATAATAACAACGATTTGCTAACGATGGGAACGTTAATATAACCATGTTGCATTAACTACCACAGTGATTAACATTCTTAATGATTTGAGAATTATAAGCATGATACTCTATTTATTTTTCTAGCACAATCCTACTGTTGCCGTGGTTACTGTATGGACCTGCTGTGGAAGTTAGGGAACGACTTGAACTTCACGTACAATCTCTACCAAGTGGAAGACGGCCAGTATGGCAATTTTGAATATGTAAGAAAACTTCTATGGCCAAGTAATATACACAATTCACTCATGAAAGCCAACATGTTTATTCTTACTTTAAATACAACCATCCTATCGTATTAATCTAGATTTTTTAAAGAAATCTTCCAAGTTTCTACATAGACAGGGTAGTGTAAAAGTTGTGGAACATTAACTATATTATAATTTATGTCATCCATCAAATATTGCCTAACGTAAGTTTCCGCTGTTGTATTTCGTTGAATATAGTGACCCATATAATATTACAGACATACCAAATATTAATATTATATTGTAGGTGTGTGCTTTCACTCCATGTAATATTATGTACTTTGGTCACCTATACAACACTACAGAAATACCAAA